CTATTTTAAAACAATCGATTAGGAAACTAGTGATTTGGCACACAATATTGAATTGAAGTTGTACTTGACATTGTGTATAGACTGTTTCAATTATGACATGCAATGAAGTTTATCATGCAACATCTACTTCAATTGTTGTACAAATATATCTCTTTCTAGGACGTTTCTCTCTCTTATCAATAAAATTATCTCTCATTAATAAAACTCTCTCTCTCTATTATCAATAAAATTATCTCTCATTAATAAAACTCTCTCTCTCTCTCTCTCTCAATCCAATGTACTTTGCTTTCAATTAATATTTTATCCCAAAAAATAAAATTTTAAAAATTAGGAAACTAGTTATTTGATACACAATATTGAATTGAGGTTGTACTTGACATTGTCTATAGACTGCTTTAATTTTGAGATGCAATGAAGTTTATCATGCAACATCTGCTTCAATTGTTGTACAAAAATATATCTCTCTCTAGGACGTTTCTCTCACTCATTAATAAAACTTTCTCTCTATCTCAATCCAATGTACTTTACTTTCAATTGATATTTATTCCAAAAATAAAAATATAAAATTCATAAAAAATAAATAATATCTAGGTTTCAATTTTAACATTTTACATGTTACCTATACTTCTAAATCTAATATGCCCATAACTTCTTTAACTTCCCAAGAGGTTATCGAACACAGAAACCAATAACTTTCTTAACTTCTGAAGATATTCTCAAACACAGAAACCAGGAACTTCTTTAACTTTCCAGGAGGTTATCAAACACAGAAACTAATAACTTCTTTAACTTCCTAAGAAATTATCAAACACATAAATCAGGAACTTCATATAGTAACTTCTATCTTCCCAGTCGAAAGAACTTCTTACAGCAACTTCTATCTTCCCAGCATGAGGAACTTCCAATTTATCGCTCATGAACTTGCTTCTAGTTATCAAACGGTCCTTTAGGTTAGATTTGAATACAAAACTAGCCAAAAATAAACGTTTGATTTTTTTGAATCTGCCCAAAAATAAGAAATACAAAAAAGCACAAAGTTTTTCTAATAAGAAAAAAAGAAAAGAAAAGGGCTCTCTTTCTTAACAATATGGATTTGAAAGCAAATCCTCATTTTTGGGTTGGATTTGAAGACAAAACCAGCCCAAATATGACATTCAAATATGCCCAAGAAAAACAAAGAGAATTCTAACATAGCAATGAGAAGCTTTTTATGTACGGATCTTAAAATTTTAGGTAAAATGCAAAATACTTCACTTATATACGAAAATTACAAAGATCGGTCAACCCTCTTTTTTTTCCAAAATTGCCCTTTGCTCAGCCTAATTTTTTATTTTAAATTTTTTTATAATTTTCACATATAAAAAAATGGAAAAAGTGCCTTAAAGTTTGGGGCACTGCCCGACTAATGGAAAAAGTTTAAAAACAATAAAAAAATTAGGGTTGACCAACCTTCTTTATAATTTTCACATATAAGTAGAGCATATCGTATTTTACTTAAAATTTTAAGGTATGTACGTAAATTGCTCTAAAAAAACTCACTCTACTAATATTATTTCAAATCATGTGATATATAAATTGAAGATAACACTATCTATATTGAAAGGCTTCTGCTAACGCAGACGTATAAAGAAAATTAAGACGAAAAGAGAACTTTTACTGTTATAAATCTTTGGCCTCGATGGGCTAGTTACACACCTGTTTTCTCTCTCTACAAATTTATCTTTTAAACTAGGCATAGTAGCATCTCTTACCTTTTTTTGTAATTTTCTCTCTCTAGAACTTGTTCCCACCAACGCAGTAAAGCTAAACAACCCCTCTTTAAATTAGGGATAATAGGTCGGGTTCGGCTGGACCCTGGACTCAGACCCGAATAGTATTCGAGTCCAAAATTTGGACCCATACCCAGACCCTTGATCCCAGGTCTACCCATTAGGTTCTAGTTATGGTCGGATCCATTGTCACGCTATGACTATAAGCTTTATTTATTATATTTTATTTATTCCCATCATATACCCTACATAGGGCTTGGGTACATGGATTTGAAAGCATGGAATCCTAAAATCTTGGATATTGTCAAAATCCATTGTTTGGATTGTTTAATGACTAGGATACTTAAAATCAGGAAAATCAAAATCAAGGAAATAAGATATACTTTTCTATGATTTTATTTCCACATCAAAACCTGTTTTTTTGTATATCCAAGGCTCATGGATTTCACTCATTGGCTCCCTCAACCCGAAACATAGGGAGCATTTGGTAAGTATGAAAATTTTAGAGAGAGAAAGTACCTAAATTTTTTAAAGAGAAAAACCATCCCAAAATTTTTAAAGAAAAAAACTATCTCAAATTTTAACTTTTAGAGTGAGAAAGTATGTTAAAATTTTATAGAGAAAAAGTGCCAATTTTTTTAGAGAGACGAACTATCCCAAAATTTCAGAGAGAGAAACCATATCAAATTTTAACTTTGAGAGAGAGAAAGTATGTTAAATTTTTAGAGAGAGAAAGTGCTAAAAAAATTTAGAGAGATAAACTATCTCAAAATTTTAGAGAGAGAAACTATCTCAAATTTTAAGTTTTAAAGAGAAACTATAATATTTTAGAGAGAGAAAGTACATGTAATTTTTTAGATAGTGAAACTATCTCAATTTTTTAGAGAGAAACTATTTCAAAATTTTAGAGAGAGAAACAATATCATATTTTAATTTTTAGAGAGGGAAACTATATCAAATTTTAGAGTGAGTACCTAAAAAGTTTTAGAACTAGAAATTATCTCGAAAATTTATAGAGAGAAACTATATCAAATCTTAAGTTTTAGATAGAGAAAGTATTCTTAAAGTTGTAGAGAGAGAAATTATTCTTAAACTTTTACAGAACCATTATAACTTTTAGAAAGAGAAATGGGCTAAAAATAATTTAGGGAGACAAATATCTCATTTTTTAGAGAGGGACACCATCTCGAATTTTGAGTTTTAGAGAAAAACTATCTCGAATTTTGAATTTTAGAAAGAGAAAATATATTAAAATTTTAGAAATAGAAATTATATCAAAGTTTAGAGAGAGAGACTACTTAAAAAATTTCAGAGATAAGGACTATCTCAAAATTTTTGGAGAAAGAAACAATTGCAAAATTTATGTTTTAGAGAGAAATAGTATATTAAAATTTTCGAGAGAAACTATATCAAATTTTAAATATAAAAAGTACATAAATTTTTTAGAGAGAGAAACTATCTAAAAAAAATTTAGAAAAAGAAACTATCTAAAAAAAATTTAGAGAAAGAAACTATCTCAAAATTTAAGTTTTAGAGAGAGAAAGTATCTCACATTTTAACCTTTAGAGAGAAATTATATCAAAGTTTAGAGAAATACTGTATCAAATTTTAAATAGATAAACTATTTCAAAATTTTAGAGAGAAAAACTATCTCAAACTTGAAGTTTTAGAGAGAGAAAGCGTCTTAAAATTTAAAAAAGTAACTATATCACATTTTAAAGAGAGAAAGTTCATATAATTTTTAGAAAAATAAACTATCGCAAAATTTTTAGAGAGAAATTATCTCAATTTTAGCTTTTAGAAAGAGAAAGTATCTTAAAATTTGAGAGAAAAACTATATTCATATTTTAGAAAGGGAAACTACTTAAAAATGTTTAGATAGAGAAGCTATCTCAAAATTATTGAAGAGGGGAATTATCTCAAGTTATAAGTTTGAGAGAGAGGGAGTATCTTAAAATTTTAGAAAGAGAAACTATATTAAATTTTAGAGAGAGTAAAACACCTAAAATTTTTATAGAGAGTAATTATCTCAAAAATTTTAAATAGATAATTTCAAATTTTAAAATTTGGATAGAAAGTATATTAAATTTTAGAGAGACAAACCATATCAAATTTTAGAGAGAGAAACTATTTCAAAGTTTTTATAGATACACTATCCCAAATTTTGAGTTTTAGATAGAGAGTATATAAAAATCTTAGAAAGCGAAATTGTATCAAGTTTTGTTAGCAAACAATGGACATATAAATGATTACAAGGAATCCAATAATTTGTTATAGTTATCCAAACAAGAGATTTGAGGAATCCATGATTAAAATTGTTGATATTGAAAATCCATAAATTTCTTTGGATTTCAAATATATAAGATTCCTAATTTCCTCCTATTCAAACGAGCATATGATTATGAGTTTTTTTTTTTTTTCTACCGATAATACTATAAATGTTATCAATACTGTGAAAATATATACACCTAGTGCGCGTTTAAAGACATATGATTACCATCATAACCTGAATAGTACTCGGGTCCAAAATTCGAACCCATACCCAAACCCGAGGTCGGGCATAACTTTTGAGTCCCGTGTTTAGTCGGCTCTATTGCCACTCCTATTCTAAAACTTACATAGGACACAATTCTTTTAATCCAAAATTTTACGAACCACCTTCATTATTTTTTTAATAATAAATTTGACTTTCAAGATTTCTAACAGGTAGATTTCACCCTGAAAAAATTGGCCGGTATCTTCTCAATATTGAGATATTACTTTTTCAAGTATATAAAGAGAAAAATTAATTTTTTAATTAATCTATGTGGTGAAGATATTATACTCCTAAACTTTGGGATCCCAAAAATCCAGACGATCATAAAATATTTTAGGGAAAAAGTTAAACAATGAGGATCTACACAGTCAAATTAAAGCACACTTTAAAAATTCATTAAAAAAAAGTTATTTTGATGCTAAAAAATTATTAACTCCATCATGTTAACCTTATAGGCATAAAACAAAATTCAAGTATTAAAAATATTGTATATTGTAATGTATTATTTAGACCGTAAATTCTCAAGATTTTTAAATATTCAAGATTTTTTTTAATTTTAAGTTTTATTATTAAAAATAAAAATAAATTTTCATGCCATTGTAAAGACATAATATTAAATCAACATATTTCGGAACTATTTTAAGGTGCGCCCTATTTTGATTCTTTCGAGTTACAAAAACCATACCAATCTTTTAGCTTACAATGTAAAAACCCTAGAATTTAAAAAACTGGAAAGGAAAGCAGCGCGAGAGGGACGTTTCTGGGACTCCTTCTCTCTCTCGGAGCCCTTCCAGAACCGTTTCTAGGGCACTGTCCCTCTCTCTCGGAGCCCTTCCAAAACCCAAAATCTCTCTCTAAAACCCTTGTGTCAGTCCACAAACCTACACAATGAAACTCCCTCTCTCTCTTCAGTCCCCCTTTCCCTCCATTTCTAAGCACCACCCAACCAGGCGGCTTGTATCTTTCTCTCTCTCACACCATATCTCTTCACAACCCCAAATCTCAAATGGGTATCTTTCGCAACCCTGCAGGTGCACTCAATCTCCATTACCCACCTCACAGTTTGATAGAGAAATCTTACTTTCTCTCTCTAACACCTCACAGATTGATAGACAAATCTCACTTTCTCACTCTAACACTGTCTTGACCCAAGAGCATGTGGTGGAGGTCCTCTTGAGCAACCAGACCGACTCGAAAGCTGCCCTTAGGTATTTTAGGTGGGCGGAGAGGCAGCGAGGCTTCATTCGGGGCCTTGAACCTCTCTGCGTAGTTCTTCACATTCTCGCTCGAAACAAAGACTTACCAGCAGCTCGCAACTTGATCAAACATTCTCTCTCTGCAAATTCAAGTATCGGTGCGTCGGCCTTTATTGATCGTCTTCTAGAGACCTCAGAAAGGTGCAATTCTCACCCTCGGGTATTCGATTTGGTGTTAAATGGGTACACGAGATATGGGTCAGTTACAGAATCTCTAGAAACGTATCATAGACTGGTCTCCAATGGGGTGTTTCCTAGTGTTGGATGCATCAACCTACTTTTGAACAAGTTGGTTAGGCTGAATTTTATTGATGAGGCTTGGGATTTGTATAGAGAGATGGTAGAGAGAGGTGTAGATTTGGATTGTCAAACTCTTGATGCAATGGTGCACGCCTGCTCAAAGGGCGGGAAGCTAGAGGAAGCTGAAGGTCTCTTTCAAGAAATGAGAATTCGAGGTTGCAAATTGGATTCTGTGAGTTATACAAACATAATTCAGGCCTTGTGCAAGAAAACCTGTTCGAAGAAGGCCTGTGAATTATTGACAGAGATGAAGAAGTTGGGGTTGGTTCCTTCTGAGATCACGTATACTTGTGCTATTGGGGCGTGCTCGAAAGAGGGGAACTTGGAAGAAGCATTGAGGCTTAAGGATGAGATGCTTTCTAGTGGCTTCTCTCTCAATGTGGTGGCTGCTACGAGCTTGATTAAGGGGTACTGCAATGAAGGGAATTTGGATGAGGCATTCGAGTTGTTCAATATAATCGAGCCCACTATTGTTACCTTTGCAGTTCTCATTGAGGGTTGTTATAGAAATGAAGATATGGTGAAGGCTCACAATCTTTATGGGCAAATGCAAGAGAGAGGGTTGTCACCAAATGTGTTCACTGTCAATTCGATGATTAAGGGGTTTCTAAAGAAGGGTATGTTCAATGAGGCATTAGAGTACTTTGAAGAGGCAGTGGAAAGCAAAGTAGCTAATGTCTTCACTTTTGACATTATCATTTTTTGGTTATGTAAAAAGGGTAGAGTGAGAGAGGCTTCTGGACTGTGGGAGAAGATGGTGAGTTTTGGAATCATACCAGATGTTGTTTCTTACAATACCTTGTTGTTTGGGCTTTGTAGAGAAGGGAACATACAAGGGGCACTTAATCTCTTGAACCAAATGACTCAGCAGGAGGGCATAAAACCTAATGATGTAACTTACACCACCTTGATAGATGGATGCTTTAAGAAAGGGAAAATGGATAGGGCATTGAAGCTGTATGATCAGATGGTGGGATTGGGTATTTTGCCGAATGACTATACATGGAATTCTATGATTAATGGACTTTGCAAGTCTGGTAGGCCATCAGAGGCTTGCAATATGGTTAGGGAGTTTGCAAAAGAGGGTTTTGTCCCTAGTTGTTTGACTTATAACAGTATCATTGATGGCTTTATCAAAGAAGATGACATGAAATCGGCCCTAGAGGCATATACGCATATGTGTGACAATGGTGTTTCCCCCAGTGTTTTCACCTACACTAGCTTCATTGCTGGGTTTTGCAAGAATGACAATATTGTTCTTGCTTTGAAGGTGCGGAATGTAATGAGAAGCAGAGGTCTACAATCGGATCTTGTAACTTATAATGCCCTAATTGATGGATTCTGCAAGAGAGGAGATATGTATAATGCAATTGAGATTTTCAATGAAATGTGTGAAGTTGGACTGGCTCCAAATGCTTCCATATACAATACCCTAATGGGGGGATATAGAAATGAATGTAATATGGAGGCAGCTCTTAAGCTGCATAAAGGGATGAAAGAAGAGGGTGTTCCTTGTGACTTGGCCACGTACACTACACTAATTGATGGATTACTTAAAGAAGGAAATGTTATCTTGGCTTTGGAGCTTTATAAGGAGATGCTTTCTCAATATATCATGCCTGACGCTATCACTTATACAGTTCTCATTCGTGGCCTTTGCAGCAGAGGGGAGATGGAGAATGCGAGACAATTCTTGGATGAGATGGGTCGAAAGGGGTTTTCTCCAAATGTCATTATATACAATGCTTTAATTGCGGGGTGCTATGGGGAAGGGAATTTGCGAGAGGCTTTTCAATTACTTGATGAGATGCTTGACAAGGGCCTGACACCCAATGAAACCACATATGATATCCTCGTGGCATCAAAGTTTGAGGGCAACATTTGTTTTGCAAGGGCTTAGCAATTGGACAGATTATCATGGTTTTCATGAGTCGCAAAGCTTGTTTGAACCTTCGTCTTCCCTCAGACAATCAGGTGTTGTGCCATTGGCAGAAGGATCATTGCTTGACATACTCAATGTGTATACTGGAGTTCTTTTAAGTTTTTCCAGCTAAGTTAAAATTGTTGGGATGAACTGTGTGTGTCCCTTGGATAGAAACAACACTAGATCATTGTAGATGTGCATACCTGTAAGAAAACAAAGGCTAGATGTGCTCCCTATCATGGGGCTTAGGTTGTGAAAGTAATGTGGTCATAGTTGTGCTTCTTGGTCATTCTTCTTTTGTTTGGATGGAAGTGAGCAATTTGGTGAATCACATTGGCTCATTTGTCTTCCATCAATTGTATGAATTATGTATATTCTTTATTCGAAAATCAGTGCTTCTGCTGAGACACTTCACACTATGATGAAATTGGATTGGAACAACTTCTGTTCATTTGCTCAATTCTTTTTCTCTGTTTGATTGATTGCTTGCTCTAATTTGTGCATTCAATGGATTGATTTTTGGACATGTTGGAATGGATTAATAAAAATATGATTAATAAAATATGCTGTATTGGGTTAAAAATATTTATCGATTTCTTTCTACAGATTAGATAGCTAATAATTTGTGTAGTGCACTATTGCGCAATGGAGACGGTTTAGATTGGGAGAAGTTATTTTTACATATGAAAGGAACGATCGAGCATTTTTTATGCTTAGACTTGGTTTTTTCCTACTCTTGCAGACAGGCCAATATGCTTCATTGAGGTATATGCTTCAACTGATACGTCTGAAAACATCCATGTCTAGAGGAATGAGGCTCCAGTCCTAGAATTTTTACTTAAGACTCACTCTGCTACCATAAATGGCTATTAAATTATTGCATTTTTTGTAAAATGGTGTTATGTTACTCTTGTTCTCGCAGTTGGGTGCCTGTATCATTGCGACAACCCTTCATCCTGCATGTGTCAATGGTTTCAGATCATAAACCTTTTTGGTACACCTTATTTAGGTGGTTGTCTTATGTATATTTGCTACTTATAAGAAATGACAACTCCCTTTTCTTGTTCTTCATTTTGATGGACCAAAAACCTATTTCAGCATATTTCTAAGACTTTTAAGGCATGACTAGAAAAAGGACTCCAAAACCAAATTATCAATAAAAGGAATTCATCTTTTATCAATATAACATCATCTCATGAGTCTTTACCAGGACTATTCATTTGTATCTTCTTTTCTTGGTTCAGGTGTGCCTTCTTTGTCAGGCCTTATTTGGGTTTAGTTTCCTCTTTTTTCTTTATAAATTTCAGATTTTCATGTGAGGGTTGGTGGGAAATTTTCTCTCCTCTTTATGTTTGGGAAGCTTTTTGTTGGTTTTTTGCTCACATTCTCATTCCCTGCTGCAATTCTTATATCCAATACAAAGGCTGTCATTTTCAGCCTTGGAAGTCTTCTTCTTTGTCAAAATGTTCATTTTGTATCTAGTAGTTGGTCTTTGAAATGTGAAAAACTGAACTGATTATATTCAATTTTTCATAATTTCATATGAAGGATGCTGTATGGATTAATTTGAAGCATATTCCTCACTCTGGAAACTAATGCTTACTGGTTTACTTTTGATGTGGTTCCTTTTTGAGACTGTGAGATCGCTGGGATTGATGGAGAGGTTAATGAGCCGCATGGCATAAGCAGAAAGGTACAAAAGTTTCCAATATCACATACTTGATAATGTACTCTTGTTTTACTTTGACTAACGTTAAGCTAAAATGTATATAATAATTTCATAGGACATATGCCCTTGGGTAAACAGTAATATTGATGTCCGTGCTTTTTGTTTGCCTTCTTATCTAACATGGATTATGTCAAGGGTTACAATATGATAATCACAAAGAATGGGTAAATCCTTGTTTTGTTTAGGTTCCCATGATTTGCCTTGCTTTTCTTTTTTTGATCAATCATAATGGCATGTTGATTGTCTTTGGTCTCTAGGAGGACTGTCACTTGTTGATTTATACAAGGTTGCTGAGTAATAGTAGTTATGTATCAGAAAGAAAAATCCTCTGCATATTGTACTCTCGTTGCACCTAAAATGAATCTTAAGTGTTTGTTGAGTCTTAAATCTGGTGTATTTTTGGCAGTCAAAGAGAGGTGTATTTTTGGCAGTCAAAGAGAGTTGCGCTTATGCAGTCAATATGGTCAGTGGCTGGGGGAAAAAAATTTCCATTGTATCCTTGGTAAGAAATCATCATCATCATCATTTTAGCCGTCCCAATTAATTGCGGTCAGCTACATGAATCCTGGTTCTCCATTCTGCTTTATTAAAGATCGTCTGTGAGGCCATAAGTCCCCATATCTTTTCGGACTACTTCCAACCACATCCTTTTAGGCCTACCCCTTGCCCTTTTCAGTCCTTCCACTTGAACTAACTCGCACCTCCTAATAACTGTTGTACTTGGTCGGCGCCACACATGGCTAGCCCACCTGAGTCTACTCCTTCTCATTTTATTGTCTATTGGTGCTACGCCTAAATTCTCTCGAATAGATTCATTTCAAATTCTATCCCTTCTTGCCATCTCAATATCCTCATCTCCGCTACACTCATTCTATGGGTATATTGTTTTTTGTTCGCCCCAACATTCCGCCCCATAGAGCAAAGCTGGTCTCACATTGTCCTATAGAATTTGCCCTTCAGCCTCATTGGTATGCGGCGATCACATAAAAATCCAGTTGCACATGTCCACTTTGCCCACCCAGCTCTAATTCTGTGTGCGACATCTTCGTCGATCTCTCTATTTTTCTGGATTATCGACCAAGATTTCGAAAGTGTGGTCTTTTTTGTACTTGTTGGCCGTCAATCTTGATTACTTCCTCGTCTATACTCCTATTATTACTAAACTTGCACTCCATATACTTTGTCTTAGTCCGACTAATTTTAAAACCTTTGGATTTTAGAGCATCCTTCCCAAGTTCTAATTTTGTGTTAACGCCGTTTCGGGTCTCATCAACCAAAACTATGTCATTTGCGAACAACATGCACCACTGTACCTCATTCTGTAGGTACGCAGTTAAGTCGTCCATAACTAAGACAAAGAGGTACGGGGCTCAATACTGACCCTTGATGTAGACTTATTGTCACTGAAAACTCACTTGTCTCTCTTGTTCGTATACTAGTTAGCGTTCCATCATACATATCTCTCACCAAGACGATGTAGTGTCTAGAGGCGCCTTTCGTTTTCAACACCCGCCAAATCAAAACTAATCTCCCGTGGTCAAAATCACTATGTCCACTAAAGGTAGGATGAGTTATTGAGTTCCATATTTCTGATATATGTTAATTTTAAAGGACCCTAGAACAAAATATTTTGTGTCAATGTTACAAGGGAAGCATACCATGAAGCAAGGCTTCTCGGCTTTGTTGTTGCATCGTAAGACCAAATGTGGTTGATCATGACCCGCACCTCAAATCTCTGCCGTTCATATGCAATCAGAGCAAGTTTCTTTTGAAAGTACAGGAAGCACCCAAACTTTCTTTCTTTTTCTTTTTTTTTTGAAGTTGACTTTGTAATATAAGGAATTACATGGAGCCCTTGAATTACCAGCCATATAAAACTGGCCACGGTCTGCAACAAAAATATACACAAATTTTTGTATTTTGGACAGAGACCTGGTCACATAAAACCCAGTAATTGCTACTCCTTCATTTGCTGATGCATCAGCAACCATGTCTGGCTCATGCCAAATGTGATGTCCTTTTTGCAATAATAATTTATTGATGTTCTTTTCCCCTGTCGTGCCAAAAGTTTGTAGAATGCCCTCCTTAGTGGATTACTTTTTTATTTCTTCTCTTCTACTCATGAATAATAGATTAAAAAAGTTGGTGTTTTTACTTTTGAAGTTGGAACTGTTGAAGGATAATAATTTCTTACTAACTAAAATTGGTGACACACTATGTTCTACCAGTTGCTTGACTGCAAAGTGAAATTCTTCTCAATAATGTTTTAAAGAGAACAAAGAAGGGAACTGATTTCATTATATACTATAACGAGCTCACATGTGGCTTGTTAACTATCAATAAGAGATATGTAAATTTGAGCTTCACCATGTGTATAGTTCTTCGAGGACATGTAAAAGTTTTTGATGATTGAGAAATTTCTTACCTCTTTCAGCTGATCTACTTGAAAGTCAGTTACATTGTTGATGATGGGGATGAGAAGGATGTTTCTTCTTTCTTTGATTTTATGCCCAACACAAACCTAAATCTTATATTAATCCAATGCAGCATTTTGTATTTTCAGCATTCATCAGGACATTAAAGTAAGTCATGATTTCCTTCAAGTGGTTCTTTTAGTTAGGATTGGAACTATCTTAGAAAGTCTGACACTCTCAAATAGAATGACCACTACTTGTCGAACTGTGTTCAAGTAATAAAACACCATAGCTATGAGGGGCTATTAGTTTTCCTTAAAGAGTTGGTTTTCTATTAACTTGTGTTCTCTAAGTCGTATAGAATTTCATCTGAAATTTCTCTAAGTCTTATAGAATTTCCATATGTGTGTGTGTATGGGGATGTGTAGATGTGTGTGTGTGCGCGTGCGTGCGATGATATCACCAAGCCCAACATAAACCGTTAATACCTGAAGGGATATTATATCTAGTGAAAAGTCAGAACTTGAACATATAATTCTTTACTTATTATTATCAGTGCTTGTTGTGTACGGTTCCTGGAATGCTTATGGGATCAGCAGATCGAAGCTATACTGAAGATCCTTATGTAAGGGTTCGATGCCTGTACAGCCTCAAAGGTCGGGATCGAGGTCCATGTGTACTGGGGATCAAGCTCCTTTATTACATAGGATCGAGAATTATTATATAAAGGTGCGAGATCCTATACGTAAGAAGCGAAGTTCCCAAGGGAATTTTTTTGAGTTTCTTAACTCAAGGAATGCATTACTGTAAGTGATCCAAAATATTATGGAGCAAGGAATAGCTTTTATAGGAGCGAGCTCCATTTTCTTAGAACACGAGTTCCTCGTGTAGGTAATAAGGATCCATGGTTTTAAAATGTAGCTCCCAGCGTTGTTAACCAATAACATGTAGGCTTAGTCCTTCTATGAAATAAATAAGAAACTATAAAGCGATCCCCTATTGGTGGGATCTGGATGCCATATATGGCGATGCTTGTGTTATGTTATTTTGGAATCTAGATCCCAATGCACTCTGGAGTGCGAACCATAAGACTAGGGAACTAGATCATGTAATGTTCAGGAACGCGAAATTCAATTGTAAGGAACTTGTTCCCTTATAAGATGGAGCGAGATGCCGAAAACACTAAATTGAGTTTCAAATGAGATCCGCTCTGGGATCGAGAGAATCGAGGTTCTGCAAGGGATAGCCAAGCAAGGGAGGAGCTCCCGGTAACTATGGCTTGGACCTTGATCTCTCCA